TGTCCCTTGTCCCGCAGGGAGAAGCGCACTCTGCACGTCAGTGTCACCAACCCGGTGCAGTGCAGCCTGCACGGCAGGAAATGCACCGTCTCCGTGGAGACCAAGATCAACCAAGCCCAGCCGGACTTCACCAAGCACCGCTCCGGCTTCGTGCTCTGCGTGCCGGGCAATTAACGGCCCCTCCCCTGGGCCCGGGGCCGGGCTCGCCCTGCCCGCACTGCGACTCCGCGGTTCATCGGGAGATGCTCAGCTGGGACTTGTCAGGCACCCCAAGCGGCCTCTGAAGCTCAAGGCTTGGAAAACCCCAATTCCRGGGGTTCAGAAAAGCCAAATTCTCACGGAGTGAAGGCTTGAAATAACCATTGACCTGTCCTCCATCATACAAACCAGGCTGGAACATCAGGAAAGTKCTTCCTTTGGAATTAGTCAAAAAAAAAAAAAGGGTTTATAGGTACTTCCCTCCTTTCCTCCCTTTCCCACATTGATTCCTGACCCCCTCTYGGATTTTCCCTTCGTGTTTCTATCCCGTTGTCACTCTTTGCAATATGATGCAGCCTCCTCCTCCGGAGGAACCAAAGACACCCGGCTCAGGGAGGCAGGTTCTGTGGGGCCAGATCCCCGTGGGACCGGAGCCAGGCTGGGACGGAGGGCTCCTTCCCCCGCCGGGACACACTCCGCACTCCTGCAGCCCCGACACCGCACACGGGGCTGCCGTGGCTCATGGAGACGCCTCCAGACTTTGCTGCTTTCCCTCGGGAATTCGTGAGCCCATCGAAGCCCCTTGGCTGGAGAGGGGAGTTCCCGATGCAGGGCCTCATTCGTTAATCCTGCATTGATTTGCCTTAATTACCCCCTCCAAGGACCACAGTCCSGTGGGTTCCCTTTGGGACCACGTGGCTTTGCTGAGTTTTCAGGTGATCCACGTGGCTTCGTGTCTGTGCCAGCGCTGGGGGTCCGGGAGGGAGAAGGGACCCGGGGCAGGGGCTGAGCCCGGGGCCGGGGGAACTTTGTGGGGCCGGGGCTCCCTGGCTTTGCACGACCCAGCACTAACCCCAGGCACGGCCCGGCTGCAGCGCCCGGGCTCCTCCCTCCTAAGAGTTCCCTCCCTGGTTCTTCCCAGCAGCGGGCAGGGGCTGTTGGGCTATTGAGCATCCCCCGGGCTCGCCCCGCCCGGCCCAGAGCCCCCCGAGCTCCGTGTGYGGGAGGGACGTGGATTCTCCACAGCGCTTCGTTCCCGCCGTGCCGGGCGCTGCTGTTGGGATCGTGCCTTGGGATTGTCCTGGCACTGCTGGTCAGGTCAGGACTCCCAGCCCTGGAGATGGGGGAGCTGCACGGTGACCCCCCCCCTCGGGGTCCCAGCACTGGTCTGATGGAGCATTTCGGGAATTGGAAAGCCTGGAAGAGGCTCCTCACTAATGAAAGGTTTCCCAAAGCCACAGGGACAGGGGGCTGCAGCCTTGACACCCCACTGCACCCCGACATCGGGGGACACGAGGGTGGAGCAGCCCCAGCCCTGCCTGGGACCAGCTCACGGTGCTGCCCTGGGGAGGCCTCACCGG